TGGGATCGTTGTGTTCACTCCCAGGGGAACTACTTCGAGGGTGATGGATGAATTTAATACCTGAGATAAGTGTACGGGTTTTTAAACGCGCAGTCTGGATACTTTCCGATCGCACCTCGTATGTAGCGTTTATTATGGACTGACCGTTTACCACGAAACTTTTAAAGAATTACAAAACATAAAACACATTACTCTCCGTAATTACAGCTGTCACGTGTGAGCTAAGCATGTGTCTCTCCCAAATCACAAGCGCCCAAATCAGACTCGGACATGACGAAAAATCTGTTCCGTATGTCATCTATACACACTCCAAGCACTCGTCCCTCTTGTCAGGAGAAGGAAATCAATATCATCAGCATTAGCACAACCTTAAAATGAGCAGACCTACCTGCTTAGGTGACATTGTTTTAGCTTCAAACCATGAAAAGCATTTAACTACATTACTTTTTATCTTTAAAAAACGTGATGCTTTCCTTGATTTACGCCAATCAGCTAAAATAAAAATTTAGCACTAAAAGTCACCAATGTGGTCTGCAAACTGAAACATCTTCACCAGTCGAACAATATTACTGACATAAATTTCCCAACATTCCACCATATGCAAAAAATAAAAATAAATAAATAAATAAAAAATATATAAAAATATATAAAAAATAAACCAGGTTGAATGTTTGCTTACCTCAAGGCTGACAGAATCTGCGTGCACCATCTCTTCCAGGCCTGGAGTGGTAACTTCTTCACATTTCTCTTGGTGCGTTTTAGGAACTGTTTCAGGGACCCGGACGACATATATTCCGTGATGAAGATAACCTGCATATAACATGACGTGTTACAGAAGTTTAAATTACTTGTTTAAATCTTGTCAGTCTAATCACAATAAAATACCTATTAAATATTAAAATATTACTATAATTAACATTTAAATATTTTAACAATTATTTATTTTAATCCGTCTTATCACAATATTTAAAATTTCTTATAATTAAGATAATAAAATATCATTGATCGATTTACATTTTGGAACATTTACACATGTTCCAAAATGTAAATCGATCAATGATATTTTATTATCTTAATTATAAGAAATTTTAAATATTGTGATAAGACGGATTAAAATAAATAATTG